GGTTCAACCACATACCGGCTTAGTGAAATATCATATATAAGTGCATGGATTGTTGAAATCACATGACCATACGCAACCCATCAGATGTGATTTAGATGCAATTTGATCTGTGTTTGTGGCCCAGGCTTCAAGGCGAGTTGCACACCAAACTGGAGAGCTTCAAGACGAAGTTTGCAGAGCTCCTGACATATCAAGCTGATGCGATCAGCATGGATGCCCCCCCATCGCAGTAAAACCCTCAGCTTCTTTTTGATGGGTTCATATATGTGCATACTTGATGATAGTGCTTATCCAGCTTGCCCAGGCAGCAAAAAGCTAGCCTGCGAAAGCTGCTTTGTGAGCTCACCAAGGAGGATGTTCAATTGAACCAAGTTATCACACGATGCAGGCAGGTTATTCAAATACATGTCCCTCATGAGCATGCCTATAACATATATATATTGGTCATCATATGTGCCATGTGACTGCCAGGGCTGTGAAACCCAAAGCTATGCCGAAAGCCAAGTCTGGGGGGAAAAATAAGAAAAACGAAGAGGCAGCAAAGAAAAAGAAGACCGGCGCAGATGAAAAGAAGAAGCGCAAGAAGACGTCTAAGAGAGACAAGAGTGACAAGAAGGCAAAGGCGGCTGCATCAACTGCAACCAAAGAGGAAGATGACCAGGAGGAGGATGAGGAAGAGGAGGAGGAAGAGGAACCGCCGGTCGAACCTACTCCCAAACGCAAAGTCAAGAAGACAAAGTGATGCAGTGAATGCAATGGTACAGTCATGCCCATGTCGGGCAACTGTGAACATGTAGGACCTCTAGGACCAACAAATTTTGATGCTTTGTTGGTATGCACTGTGCTCAGATGATCTGAGATGTACTGAAGACAAACACTCCAAGTTTCTGTTCATGATATGTGATTGTGAGCACAGCTTGCGGCTTTTGGATGGATCAGCTTGCCAGAAACCGATGGCCGAGACAAAAAAAAGTCGGAAGTTATTTTTGTGCAGCTTTCACCCAGACTTCCCCAAAGCTGGGGTCCACAGAGCGAGCTATATATTCCCAACTGCCAGGTCACTTTAAAAGTGCAAAGGAGCTGAAAGGCTGGCATGGGGAACAATTGGATATGCTACAGCCATCTTGCATCTGACTTTGATTGCGACCTCCTGTGCTTTTATAATTTCCAATAACTATATACAAAATTTATCATCCCATATGATGTCTCACACTGCATCCCTCCAGTACATTCCAGTACCCATCCACCCTATCCTCTCTTGGCAGGATGCTCGGTTTCTTGTCAACCTGCACCAGCGCCGGATGAGAACATCGAGGAGCTAACTGATGAGTTGGCCAGGGAAGTCATGGATGAGTATTTGAAAGGGGTTTCTTGGTTTTCATTTGTTGGGCAACCCCACCATTTCAAAATCCATGGTACCAAATGTTTTGATAATTTCCAGGGGTTGGTAAATGTCCCTTTTTGGGGATTTTGAATATCACCTTCAAATATCTGTTGGAATTTATATCCCCAATAGTTGGGTGATGTTCAAATGGGACATTTACCAACCCCTGATTTCATTGGCCAAAATTGAGGCTGAATCAGCCTACAAATGTGGAAAGATTGCTTCTATGATTTGCCGGATCACTTCGAAATGAACCTTGGCTATTAAACAATATAGGGGTTTCCTGAAGTAGGGGCCCATAGCTTGGGACATCCAACTAGCAACTGTTGGTGCCAATAGCCCCAATAATCAATTAGGACCATCCCAAATGTCAAATGTGAGAGGAAGTTTCCATAAATAGAGGCAGGTACCCCTAAATCATCAGTTTTAATATGATTTTGCATTTTTATGCACCATCCATTTGGTGGTACCCCATTTATGAAAAATAATATATATATATATATATATATATTATGTATATATATATATATACACTTCTTAGATATATATATATAATATAATATAATATATAATTTATATATATATGTAAAACCACACTGCACTGGTCCATATATATTGCAACTCACAAGTTATGATACAGCCATCTTATCACCGAAACATGGAATCATCCTGACGTTCCTGGCCATAGGTGGCGTGAAGGGCAAGCTCTTGGTCAAGCTGAGCTCTGCCTACCGCAGGCAAAAGGATGCTTGCACAGTGATGCGTCGACTTATCAAGTCAACGCATGGGCAAATACTGGACATACCTGTGAATGTATGTCCTGTGCAAGTCAAACTGAGGAAACCAATTCGAGGTTTGAAAGTTTGGTGGCCAGTAATTCGCATGGAAGACTGGGCAAAATGGATGCTCAACAACAAGCCTCAACTGCTTTTGGGAGGAAACGCATTGGACCACAAAGGAACCTGGAAGGAAACCTTTTACAGGTTCTGGGAATTGTACAGAAAAATTGATGGAAGCCACCCAGTCTTCCAACGACCTGACTTCGACCTTGGGTGTTGCATACCGTATTTTTTCCATGGTGACGAGGGTAGAGGGCAATTGCGGAGACCCTACATGGTAATTTCCTGGCAATGTGCAATCAGCCACCTGGGGCCTCAAGTTACCAATGATACCTCGTATCCGGATCACAATGGTATCATTTTTTGTGCTTTCAAGATTGATGTTAGTTTCTGAGTTCTATACCCCATGGCTATGGAAATGACATTGTGAAATCCAAGGCATACCTTTACCACGCGGTACCTCTTCAGTGGCATCTCCAGCCATTTGTACTATGGTCAGTGGACAGTGGATGATTTACTGGGTGAACTAGCCAATGAAGCCATTGATGCCTTTGAGGGTGGTATATATGATCCTTTGGTTAAACAATTAAACAATTCATGATTTTATTTTTTCTTTTGGTTCCTCATTTTTTTCATATTGTGGCAACCCAGTCATGCTGACCCTGTCTGGCCTTTGCAGCTGAGGAGGTTGGTGGCAACACACTGCGCCTGGTCAACATCGGGACGAAGGGCGATTGGCCCTTTCTACGCAAAGCATCGTATCTGAAAATAATATGTGCATGCATGTGTTTGTGTGTTTTCAATAATTCATCAGCTAGGGACACCTGAACCATATGACCTTCTGATTGATGAAAATATATACTGATGATGCATGCTATAGATATCATAAAGAACGGGCCATGATTCAGCTGAGGCATTTCATCTCAGTTCTGGGTTCACGTCCAAGCGCATATGTCACAGGTGCTGTGGAGAGGACAGTGCTCAGGGAACAGTCACCTATGAGATTAATCCATATAGCAATGAAGGTGTTATTGCATATTATGCTCGATCACTTGAATTTCAATTTACATTCATATGTTCAAAATTAGTGCCACCCAAATGTCCAAACCATTCCAAATCCATGGTAGGAATGGCACAATCCAATGGATGATGCTGAGTGGAGAAAGGACTCTGGTGAGCCCCCTTTCAAGTGTTTTTCCGTGATGCTGCAAATCCCGGGATCTCATTCGGTGGACCATATATTGCTGGACTATCTTCACATCTACCATCTTGGGTATGGACAGGATGCAAGTGCAAGTTCAATTGTGCTTTTGGCACATTTGGGACAGTTTGGCCCTGGAAAACTTGATGACAAATTGGAAGTTGCCTATGGAAGGTTTGATGCATGGTGCAAGGCAAATTCAAGCAAACACAAAACTCGAACTACATCCATTGATGGTTTTTCCTCGCAATCCTTTGGAATGATGTGCCTAGGCTTAAAAAGCGCGCATATAAATTCTAAATTGGGGATAGTTCAATCCTTTGGAATGATGTGCCTAGGCTTTTATATAAACTCTAAATGGGGGATAGTTCACCAAATTAGATGCCCAATCCCTAAGTGTCACTTGTGCCCAGGAAAAAATCTTTTCCTGAAACCCACGGCGGAAAAGCTTTTGACACCAGCCTCATCATGGCATGGTTGGAGACCGAGGTTGCGGACGCAAAGGCCATGGAATCGGGAAGATGAGGTTTTGCATACTGACTGCAAGTCATATAACTAACATATGTGATGGAATCCTATGTAACATGCAAAAAAAACATTAGACCTGACAAAGTAAAGAAAAAAAAAGTACGTTTGGGCTTTCTTTATTTTTGGTCCATTATCAGCATGTGTTTCAGGTGAATGACCTGGAGAATCCCCTTTTCAAGATGTGCGTGTACATGCTGAAGTGCACGAACAAATTCTTTCGAACCATTCGACAGCAAGGTGTCCTCATGGAGGGCGATTGCTGCACCATTGCCAGAACAGCTGGCGTGGAGATGAATGTCCCTAGATCTATCATTTAGAGCCATGATCTGACAAAATATGATTTGAACATCCTAGACCTGACAAAGAAAAAACTGTACTTTTGGGTTCTTTCTCTTAATTATGGGATTTCTTTGTTTGGCCTTGTGGTCCTATCTTATCAGCCTAGGTGGCCTATGCATCTCTTGCAACAACATGCTTCAGAAAGCAGTTGAAATTATTTCGCTACCGCCCAAAGTACCACTTGGGTATTCACATTGCTGAAGACATCAAGCCACCTGTGGCCCTGAACCCAGCTAGTTTCTTGGACTATCTTATCATTTTTTCTTGCAAATCCACCAAAAGATATATGTGCCATCTCAACTTGAGAAGCTCTTCACCTTGATCTGCCTCAGGCCTAGCTACTTGGGCTGATGAAGACTTCATTGGAAAAATATCCCGCACAGCTCGGACCGTGCATCCATTGACACAGACGATCCGCACCATAGAGAAAGTGATGGGCCAGTATGCACGTCAGTTTGATGGAATGAATTTCTAGCGGCAAAAGAAGGAAAAAGAGCGTACAGTTTTGCTTCCAAGCATTCAAGTTTGATCTGAAGTGGATCAAATGGACCAAAAATAAAGAAAGCCCAAACGTACAGTTTTTTCTTTACTTTGTCGGGTCTAGGTATATATATAATTATATATACACGTATAATTCACTATTTGCATCTTGTGGGTTTCTTTGAAATGTTTCTCTGCCCTTGTCTCCTCAAGTGCTGGTCCAAGGAGCGCCAAGCGACTCTGGGCTGACGGGGACAAATGGTTCCTCCATGTCAGGCATCACCACTGCCCGGAAGCGCCCATGGCTGGTGGGCACGTAGAATGTGACCTGGGGATCATCCGATCATCCCAAATATGGGTTGAGACACCAGTGCTGATCCTTCGCAGTGCCAGCAGTGACTGTTGAGTTTAGTTTCCATCTCGGAGTCTGGGAGTGGTGCGTCGTTTGTTTGCCACGCCCAAACACCCGAACAGAATCGGAACGCTGGAAGCCTGGTTCCACCGTGTTTTTGGGTTAAAGCTGGGCTTTTTTGAGACGCCTGAAGTATGATAGTGGCAAAAATTGATACCAGTAACACTGAAAGATTCCTTTGCGCTGTCACAGCCAAGCGACAGCTTCGTCGAAGGTCACGAGGTATACATCTCTCTCTAAAGAGTGTGGCGCCTGTCACATTTCGCTTTGGAACCAAACGTCACACTTCCAATAAAAAGCATGATTTCTTCATCCATTGAATTTCATCCTTCGGTTTGAACTTCTCCGTAATTACGCTTCTGCCCATGGTGTACTTCCCTTTGGCCACAACATGCTACAACCGTGGACTTGTTGGAACATCTTAAATCCGCATTGTTCTATGGCCATTGATATTATATCCCCCGTTTCTGCACATGTGATCTGGACATGTGATGCTTCTTCCTTCATCTCCCTAGCTTCAAATTTCATCTTTACCTCCAAAATATCAAAATCTCAATTCTTGGTTTACAAATGTTTACAATAACAAAAAATCACCATCTCGGGCCTTTAGAAACCCAAAATTTCTGTGATTTCTCTGGTCCAAATCATTCCAAATCCCAATCCTCCCTATCTTTGGACCCACACATCATATCCTCCATATCCTCCACCCGTCCTGGAAGACCTTCTCCAGTGCTTCCAGTGCAGCCCAGCTGAAGCCCCGCTCGATGGCATTTGGCGACGTCTCGATGGCGAAGCACACCGAGGGCACGAAGGGTCTGCGCCCAGGACCAGGGGACTGAGGATCACAGCCATGACGGATCCATGGTGCTGGTATATTAATGCTAACATGACTGGGGATATATTGATGGGATCCATGGAGCACCATATATAGCACCATGGATCCTATGGGATCATTCTAGAATAGTCTAGAATAATTCTGATATATTCTTGATATATTATAAAGACTCCATGGCCCCATCTGGAGCAAGACTTGGAAACCTGGTTTCTAGGACTCAAGAGCCCATCTGCTTTTTGAGTTCAGAATACTCACAGTGGAAGTGCCTCGTCCCAAGATTTTCACTGGATGATCAACAGTTATCCTTCATGGTTGTATCACAATCCTGCTTAAACCAGGTGGTAGTAACCCCCAACAATTACCAACAAGGGTATTGGAGTGGTAAACTCAATGATAATCATCAACAAACTTCCGGTTCGGGGCTGGTTCATACATCTTTAATTACAGTAGTATACCACCTAGTTCTTCTTGAATTTGGGGAAATCGTATGAAGTGCTCTCCAAAACTAAACATAGATGTGGAACATCCAGCATTTATAGATCATTTTCCTATAAAAATTGGGTTTTCCATGGTTTTCTACATCCCCCAGGCTGGTGATATAATTCTGTGGTGTACCGTGAAGCATTCGCCAAGTGACCCCGGCAGGTCGGGTTCCAGCAAGGCTCTGGCCGTGAAATCCACGGAGCCATAGACCAGCTCTGGATGGGTGTCCGCGTCCTGCGGATGTCGTTGGGGTGACCGAACTGGATATGACAGAATTTGGGTGGGATATGTATATATCACATATGATATATAGTATTATATAATATCTATTATCATATATATATATATACATATATATTATATACATATATATTATATCAATTTATATTACGTATATACACCGGGTTGAGAATCCATGGCCCTGCCAACTACCACAGACGGCACGTATAGATGGCGCCTGGTGGATTTCTTGGAGATCCCCCCGAGGCGATGTTTTGAAGGGACAGTGACTCGCCCCTTTTGGGGGGTTAGGATGGGTTAGGCCATCTATTCTTAGCATGTTTGGTTTTTTTATGGTTTTTGTTGGGGTGGCAAATGGCAAAGACTTCCCGGTTTCAAAGCGCATGGCGCAAGAAAATTTCGGGTTGCGCCATCTAGTATGCATGAAAACTGTTTTTTCCCTTCAAAACTTCACTTCAACCGGCCGAGCCCTTTTTCATGAAAGTTTTGATGACCGAAAAATCATTTTCCGAAAGACAGATTTTAAATTGAAAATGGGGTAGATGGCGCAATTTTGTACATGTGCAAAATGGGTTGCGCCATCTTCAGGCACATTGGCTGTTTCGGGTATATATTGGGAAATGTTTTTTTCACTGTTAAATAGATGGCGCAACCACCTCTGCACAAAAAGCCCGGATTTTCAACATTTTCAACCCGGAGTATATGGATATATATTGGATATATCAGATATATCTCAAGGGATTAAACAAAAATGACATCACCTTCCAACCAAAAATCTTCGTCCAAGTCATGGAAACAGCCCAAGTCCCCAAGTCGCGGTCCGCACACTGGCCATTGCGTTCCATGTCGTCCAGAAACTTCTGAGGAACATCCAGGCTATGACCTGATGCCAGGCTATACTATTGGTGACCTCCCCTGGCCATCTGTAACAGGATCAAAATCCAAATATCTTCATAAAATATGGATTTTGTTTTAAATATATATATATAATATAATATTATATAATTATATATATACACATTATTTTATGATTGTGTTTTTGCTGACATCGAGAATTGATTTTGATTGTTTCGCGTCGATCCAAGTGAGACCATGCTGAGTCTCTGGCTGCACATGTTGCATGTGAACCTCAGAAACTTCGATGGTGCACAGGACACCGCTTGGCGAATATGGTCTGTGTAGACAGGATTAAAAAAAATGTTTTCTGTAATCGCATGTTCATCTCAGCTATCATCACAACATATCACAACCACTAGCACCTGCACGATGATCGTGATTGTCATCAACAAGATCACTGGCTGCTCACCATCAGCTGCTCATCCACCAAAGTTTGTGGTGCTTGTTTCTGTGACAAGCGGCTTCCGACTTTCCTTCGCACTCCATTTGAAATGTGGATTTGCATAGCACCTTACAGAACCAAGGCTGAGCGGACAAATGCACCAAACATGGGTTCGTGCAAAGTAGCGTACAAGCACCCCGACATCCCATTATTTTATCACCAGTGCCCAATATGTTAAATCATGTTAAATCCCTTTTTGTGAGGTGTACCATAGTATGCCTATTTCGGGACAAACCCAATCTTTATTGTTGGTTGTGGTCATATATATGTATCCCATTGTAGCCCCAGCATATCCCATTACAGCCATTCCAGTCCACTTGTTTTTATGCTGCAATGTTCCATGTTTGGTAAAAACTACTCAACAATTTTCTGCTGTGACAATTATCGGTGATCTAGCTATGGAAAACCACCATTGTCAATGGGTAAATCATCTACAGATGGGCGCTTCCGTAGCAGGGCCTGCAACTGACCTTTCGCTTTCTCCGGCCGCGCCTACAACGAGGACACCTTAAAGGTTCTTCGGAGCCAATGTCTGACAAAGGCCTCAACTAGGATCGCGATGCCAAATAGGTAACGCAGAAATGGGAAAAACTTAAGTTGCTTGAAACCACCAACCACATGATGTCTTCCCAATTGGCTTGTTGGATTGTGCAAGTCAGTCTTTGAGCAAGAATAGTCTAGGGGTCGTGATGTTGTTGATTGTTTTTTTGCATTTTTCATCGAAGAAAGCGAGCACGGATGAGCACGGCAATGGCACCGCAGCCCGAAACTGAGCACTGACCAGCTTGAGCCAAACCTGTTATATATCTGAATCTGCACAATGAGATTGAGCTTTCAAGACTCCAAGCCTGTTTGGTATCTCCAAGTAACAACATGTTTGACACCAGCGAAAGTTGAGGCCCCGACAAAGAAGTGAAGTCAGCACTGTCTGCAAAAGGCGTCAAAACCTCAGGTCCCCAGGGGTCTTCCGCGTCAAGCGGAGCTGGTTCTCCCAGGTTCTCCCAAATCCTGGGCGCCCCAGCAGCCGCCAAAGGTATTGGGAGGCTGTTGGCCACTTCACATGGCCGCAGCATCACCGAATCCATGGTCGTCCAAAGGAACCTCAAACAAAGACATACAAAGACCCCAAGACGTCGCCTCTGTGCTACTTGCGGCCGCATATGGGTATTGTTGGCCCTGAGGATTCCTTTGTTGTCGTTTAAACTTCTCACTTCCCTCCATATTCTGGGCCCTCAGATCTTGTTGAATACGTGTTGCATACAAGCTTTCGATCCTGGTGAATACTCGAGATTGACTTCCAAAAAGCCTCCATTGGATTGCGAGCAAGCTTGATGTAAGCAAATTGTGCGCAGTTTGAGCACCAACAAACCCCGTATCCAAGCGTTTGCTCTGCATACTTGGGAAATTTGTGTTCAAGAGTTTCAAACCATCATTGGAACAACCAGACCTCCAGTGAAAATTCATGTAAATCACATGTAAATCACAACATTCATGGTATCCATGGCACAGTTTGAAGCTCCAAACGTTACCCTGCGCCAGTCACGGCACTGTCTCGCTGCGTTCTGCTCTCGGGCCACACTTCGTTCCGGGCTGCTGGGGCTGGTGGGGCTCTTGCCTCGGGATCAAACCACTGTGGTAGAGAAATGATAGAAATGTGTTCACATGTTGTAATATGTTGTAATAGGTTCTGTATCATTCTATTATTACATATTATTACATATTATTACTGTATCTTCTTTCTAAAACTATAAATAAATGATAAATAATGTGTTTCAACCATCTAAAAATAACAAAATGATCCAAAACATCTGGAGATCATCATCACACAGTGTCACAGGACATGGTCAACTTGGTCCGCATCATCACGGTCAAGCTTTTGGACCCAGGAAAAGTCTGCTCTGATCAATGGCTTTCATGGGAAAATCGACATGAAACCATAGTCGTTAATGTCGTTACATCTATTTGCCAGTATGAAAAACATATTATATATATGTGGTTTTCCTGCAAATGTTGATAGACTTGATAGATGTTCCATGTTTTTTTGGTGGCTGGGCGGCCCAACTTGGACTGGTCGGTGTGCATTCCACTGGGCCTTCCTCTTCAATGGCGCCATAAACTGCCTGCAGAGGTCGTCCGGGGTCGGTGGAATCCTGTGAATGGGGCTCAATATGGGAGGTTTCATAGAATGAGGGTACAACTAAAATGGATGGTTTATAGTGGAAAAATCATATTAAAGTGAGGGTCCCACCATTTTAGGAAACCACCATATACATCCTTTTGGAAAATAACCTATATAAGCGCAATAATTTTTGACCATAGCATTTCGCATTTTTATGTGCAGTGTAAGGGATTTACAGTAATTACCCCCAGCTAAAAATTGATGTTGGGAAAATGATGACAAACTATGCATGGATCTAGATGAAATAGCAGCTGGCATAGCCTGCAGCTTCAGCAAGGGACAAACAAAGACCGTCTAATTGCTGTCTACTAGTATCATACCACTGTCGGGGGATCAGTAAACAGGCCTGGTGCTTTTTCATCTACCCTCTGGTAAACTAACATAACTATGGAAAATCACCATTTTTAATGGGAAAATCCACTATAAATGGTCATTTTCAATAGCTATATTAAATTACCAGAGGGTACCTTTGGTGTCTCGTTCATTTCTGCTACATGGATCATTGGCCGAGAACATGTGGATTTTTCGCCGTTTAAAACGTGCAGAAAAAGCGCCTCAGAATCGATGCCCATCCATGGTCTTGGAAGCTTGTCGGGAAGTCCTCAGCGTCAGCTGTGAGGTGAACCCATATGGGTCATGTGAAACTCAAACTGCTTCGCTTCTTTCCCAAATTCCGCACGTTTGGGGTCCATGGAATCTCCATTTTGACACATATCTAATCATATCTACATCCTATATGCTTATATACACACTATATGTATATATATATATACACACACTATATATATATATATACACTATATATATATAATCCTATCACATACTTCAGTACCGCTCTGAATATGAACTCCTCCATCGATGCTGCAATGAGAAAGCTCGGGTTCTGCCTCAGTGTGGGCAGGAAGAGTTGAACTTGAAAAAGTTCAAAAGGTGGCATGGACAAAAAGTAATATGGGAATATGCCAAATAAATCCAAATAAGCAGGTTAAATCTATCTAGCTAGCTGGATGGCATGTTAATATTGAGACCCTTAGACATCGGTTTTGCACTCCGCAGGCGGTGTTGGGACTGCATCTGCAGGCTGGGTGCAGGGAACTAGCCTGTGGAGGGCTAGACTGTACTTCTGCCTTTACGTGATGATGCTGTCCAAGACGAATCCCAATAGTAATGTGACGACTAGTCTGGTCTCCTGCAGTGGTGAAGTATATTGTCTACCTTCAACGGTCTCGAGATGGGTCAAATTTGGGCGCAGCACCCCAAAATCATCAAAATCTTAAATGGGATGGTTATGGATGGTTTACCACTAAGAATGGACCAACATCAGTCAGTGGTCCCCTAGATCTTAAATATTGACATATATTGACCAATTCCCAAATGTTGCACGTACATCTGGGATCTTGGTGTCCCGTCTCTTCGCGTCCTTCGCAAGGATGTGCTTGTTGATGGCCCACGGGTGGGACGTGGGTATCCTCACAGGCCAATCAACAAAATCATGCAGCGGCGAAGCACTGTGAACTCTTGGATGACATATACTGTATGTATTATATATATATATATACGTATATATATATACGTATATATATTAATATATACGTATATTATATTACTGTATATAGGTGTACAACGGTATGTGTATTGCTATGACTTCGACGACTACTATTACTACAAATTACTATCTATATTTATATACTACGAATTACTAATTATCATCATCGTTATCATCCTTGTTATTATCATCCTTCGTGGCAAATCTGCAGCCGACTAGAAAGTCTACCTTACTGGGGACATGACATGATTCTGACATCTGCAATGCCTGGAGAAAAACACCGGGCCTGAACTCTCCCTGGGGAGCATTGGTATCGTGGAAAAGGCCTTGGGCCTGCTACTGGAGCCATTTTGTGAGCCAAGGTCGTCAAAGTTTTTCAGCACTGGGACTCGCAAGAAAGGGCTGATGTGTTTCAACACAACTGAAGTCAAGCAACAGTTGAATCATCTCAGCATGCCATATACATCTTCATCCTGTGCCAAACAAGTCGACAGTCCTCACAGTCCCTGCTCTGCCAATGTCTGCCATTCCTTTTTGCACAAACCTCTGTCTCTGGTGCGGTAAGCAAAGCAGCTATAATGGCTCTCTCTTGCCTAATCGGACAACGAGCAATCGATGACCACAATCTTCTGCACAAGCCCACTGGCACCACCATCTCACAATCACACACACCTTGCCCGCTTTGACCCGCGAATTGCGGTTGTGGGGTCGATTTGGAACTTCGTGAGCTGGTGATATGCCACGGCTGGAATGTGAAGCAAGCTGAGTACCATTGCAGCTATTTCATTCCGTGACTTGTTCAACGTCTTCAACAGATTTAGCTCCCCGTTCTAGCATGATCGCTGCTGGTGTGGGAAGGAGGTCCTGTTACTTCGTTTGTTGCGTCTACACAAACAGGTTGCTGGTAAAAACGTGTGGTTCAACTCCGAACGCACTATTTTGTCAGCAAAATCATATGTTTCCAGTACGATCATACAAGGCCTCACAGCAACCGGGTCTCCTCCATTTAAATTAAGGTGATTTAAGGTGCGTGTTCTTGTGTCACAGCTGCCATGTCCTCTAGAAACGGGTGCCCTGTCCTAAATAAACAATATATTGGTCATATATATATACATTACAAACATGTCTATATTTCTATGTATGTTCTATTTTTAATACTAGTATATGTCATATATATATGCATGTATGTATATATATATATATATACACATATGTTTTCATAGATTTGTCTATATACATATATGATATAATATATGTGTATGTATGTCATGGTGCCTGGAGTTTGCCCGTCTCTTCGAAAAAACTTCGCGACGTCAATGACGCCACATTCAACATATTGTCCAGAGGGGTGGCGGTTTTGATCCCATATCAAAGTAAGTTGAAGATAAGAAACCCTAGTTGAGTCGTTTGTTGATTGCAGCAATCAGACGTTCCGGTCCAAAATAAGAGGCATCATTGTTGGTTGTTGATGGGAATCCCAACTGCAATGCCTGGCATTTCTCCAAGCCCTCTATTTCTCTACCAATGTCGCTGAATTTATCATTGATCAACAATATCAATCTATGCTTCTCGCAGTCGCTTCACAGTTGGCAGGTCTCTTCCTGTGGTTGGTCTGCCACCGGGCCAGCTGTCCCTGTACAAGGCGTGCTGTGTGCAGCTTGAAAAAAAACCTTGGCTTAGAATCGGTCCCGTGAGGACCGATTTCCCATCTGATAGGGATTATGTGTGCCATGAGAATATATTATGAGTTGATGTATATATACATACATATATACAAATACGTATAGTATAATTTATTATAATATATATATATATTGCAATGCTATCATTCACTAGTCAGTTATACTAACATTCTTACTAACGGAGTTTCGTCAGCTGTCTTCCGCAGCCAGGGAGGCTGCCCAAAGCAAAAGTGAGCAGCAGTTCCGCAGCCGACGGTAAATTGAGCCGACGGTCGTGACGTCCTGACTGAATTGCCAGCCGATTTCGAGGCGACCATGGAACTCCTACCACAAAGTTTTCGGCAAAGGTGAAGAATGGGACATCAAAATCTCCAGCACGGCCCTACTTTGAGATCCTAGAGATCCACCCCTGGTGCCACTCTCACAATGATTGCCCTCATACACGTGACAGCAAATTGTCAATGGTACAACCACTCGTTTTCCGGCGAAGAGTTGAAAGTTGAAAGTGGTGGAAAGATTTTGGAGTTCATTTTCTAGTTTGTTTTGTATAAACATATTAATCATGAATCAATCATGAATCATTACTATTCATGATTTAAACAAGACACATTCTCACAATCTCCTCATTCTCTTGTCACCCATGCATCAGTTGTGCCAGTATCCCAGTCATATATGTGACATCATATAAAGGCTGTCATCCTTCGTCTTTGCCTCTGAACTTTGCTTGACACCGCTCTTCGTGCTGCTGTTCGTGACTGGGAGGATGCAAGTTGTTTTGACTGCAGGGAAGCACCAAGAACGATTCAAAAATGAGCCACGGAAGATTCGCCACTGCACACTGCATGCATGCACATTACCCTCAGTGGCTGAGGGTCATATGGCTGTTTCTTGGGTGTTGAATTTCCAAGTGTTAGATGTTTTTTTGTTGATGACAATAGAAATCAATCCCCTCTGGTGTGGAGTCAGCGGGAAACAGACTTCAGCTATTGCACAGGCCGGTTCCTTCAAGGCAGCAAAGCTGCACTCGCCTCTGAAATCTCATGGTTGCACGTGTGCTTCAACTTCTGATAGGCTGAGAACAAATGCTCAATCAAAGGTGGCAATACATACAGCCGCAATACATACAGCCGTCTCTTTCACTTGTGAAGCGAATATTGACACATCTGTATGGAAAAAATCAAAGGTGGAAATACATACAGCTGTCCCTTGCACTTTGGAACCAATTTGTTTAAGATATGTATATATTATACGCATGGCTACCATATTTTAATATATTTTCTACTAGGGTCGAACAGGTGATTGGTGATGAATCGTTAAGTCGTCGTTTTGGGTGTAGCCCGTTGCCTTTTTTTGGTGTTTCCATCAACTTCCATCAGCGGTGCAGCTCCCTGCAGGAGGAGACTTTCAAAGCTCTCGGAGAGACGTCCAAATCTGTCGAAGCACTCCGGCGCGGGCCGTGCGTGTCGCGCGGGCCGTGTTCGCTGGCGAGGTCTGCAATCCAGTGAGTGATGGGGTGATACTTCATGGTATATATAGTTCATATATAGTTCATATATAGTTCATATATAGTTCATATATAGTTCATATATAGTTCATATATAGTTCATATATAGTTCATATATAGTTCATATATAGTTCATATGTAGTTCATATATATATAGGCCATTTTGGATCATTTCGGAGTATCCAGGAATCCATTCCCATTAAATCCCATAGTTTGGGAGTTCCTCCTATTTAAACATATTTAAAACGGACATGGTTTGGATCATTTTTGGGCCCTCGGCCCTTGAAACTTTCAGGGTCTCACTCATCTGGCTCTTCTGGATCCGGCCACGTCTCTCGGAGCACCTTGTTTTTCATCGCCTGGGGTCCAACGGCGACGGCTATCGCTTGGTGATCATATCCTGATAAACATGGTGACACTGTCATAATCTTAAGAATATCTATAATATCTATAATATCTATAATATATCTACATTATAATACCATCTAACAATCTACTAGTGCCCAATCGTCGATCTCAATGTTCAGTGAAGCGCCTCGACTACGAAGGTGCGCGCCATCTGATCCGCATCTGGAACATCGAGCCTATGGCCGCTGCGGCCACATTTCCATGGATTTTTGGGTGAAGTTTTGTGGGAGAAAATCAGGGAGCTTCATGGAGATATAAACAGTTATAAACCAATGTTCATCCCATTTCTTCGGTGATTTGAGATGAAAAAATTCGCACCAAACGAGTTTTCCCATGGAACAACACGAAGGACCAACGTCTTCGTTTTGTAGAATGATGAAATGGCAAGCATTCAAATCATTCAACTATCATTTTTCTGTTGGGACTCAGGGGCCCTAAACAGCTTAAAACTGTGACACCTCAACGGAAGAAATTGCTCAGGCAGCAGCTGGATGTCAGGCATATGCCTGTACATGTCATCCTGAGCCCAGCAACATCCAGCAACTCTGTGAGTTTTTACCCGTTTTCAGCAAAAACAACCCTTCATTATCAGGCATAATCAGATATTGTTGTCCTAAATTTGGATATATATATATATACATATATCATATTATCCTACAGTGACCATTTCAACATGGAAATAGTGATCAACAATGCAATTTTGGGGTACTGTACCCTGCTTTCACACACACCATCACACACCTAAATCAGTCGAGTGCATCTTGGAGTGTTTGGTGCATAGTTCGGCAAAGTTCCAAACTCGTCAAGTCAAAAATTACATGATGTCAACAAGTCTACAGGACAGCTTGAGCAAATGATTTGGCCATGAGTCGAATCCATTCTCGATGTCTTTCGGAGTTAGCTCCTGTGCAGCGATCACAAGCCCTGCAGGGCATATCAGGGGCCCTGAGGTAGATGTAAAAAAAACCGTGTGAACTCTCGTCACACTATACCATCTGGTTATTTAACATAGCCATGGAAAATCACCATTTGTTATAGGTAAACCATCTATAGATGGGCCATTTTCCATGGCTATGTTAAATAGCCAGAGGGTAAATGAACAATAAGTTGTTCTGGCGTGGTGTGGAACCTTGTGTCATTGCACGAGCTATCCTTGACCCCAACAACTTGAAACCTTCAAACCTCAAACCCTCAAAACCAATCCAGGGAAATGGCTAAAACCTAAACGCCCAAATCCCAAAACCTTAATTCGTAAACCCTAAATTTAAAACTGATGTTGGGCCAAATGTTGTGTTTCGGCATATAACTACACTGAGAGGCCTGGTGGTTTTAAGGGTCTCTGTGTCCAATTCCCCTTGTAACTGCGCATCGAGCTCTGCACGCCCTTTTTGCCCTTTCCAAAAACATCCAAAAACTACTTCTAGCCATGAAACAATTTGCTCATGGCTGCCACCTTCTGTGAATTGTTGACATGTATATGAACGTTAACATCCCACTGACCATTTCCGATCCCATCTAGTGATGCGTGAAAATAATGGTACACATGACTCTAAGGAAAGTCAAGGTTGCTTGCCTGATTAGTACCCACGCAATTCAGTACTGTCGGTGCAAAAGCAAAGTACTCAGTAAATTCAGTGGAATTCAAGTGCAGCTGCAACACATCACCAACACAAACATGCCAAGATCCAGACAGCAGTTTTCATAGAGTTTTTTCCCCTTCCAAAGCCAAAGACCCGAGAAGAGCTTCGCAATGAAGTCAAAAGTGTAGTGTCGCCGTTTGTGCTAGCACAAACGATGCTCCCCGCAAGATCCACGATGGAGGAGGCGACGAACTTGCGTAACACGTACATGAACGTTCACATCCCACCTCACCCCACCCTACCCCTGAACATCACGTTAACATCTCACCCCACCCCACCCCTGAACATCATAACGCAACATGTACATGAACGTAACACAACAAAAAACAACAAAACACCCAGGCGCCCTGCAGCGATGTTGGCAACTACATATAATACTATATGCACGACAATAATACTCAGATATGTAAGAATATCATGTGTGTAGTATAATGTATAATGGAATGGAATATGATATTAGACAAAATTAGTGACAATCCTTATTCTGCGCTCCATCGGGAAAACTTTGATGACCCTGACCAATTTTTCTTTGCTTCGTGAGTCCTCTGACTAGACTTTTGCCCCACATCTACGTAATTCATCGTAATTCACTACATAGATGAACGGGGATGAAAATACATATCTCATCATATCTCCATGTTGGGTAGGACTCAGTGTCGGACTCAGTATGACCAACACAACACCAGGTAAAACAGTTTTGGGGGGGACACAGTATCACAATGATTACTTGCGGCATAGCAACGCAGTAAAGAACAGATTGTTGAAATAGCCCTGTGTTTCTGCTGGTTGTACCCGACCTCCCATGCTGTTGGTCAAACAGCTCGTGTTTGTCTGAAAATGGGGTACTCCAATTCCAAAGCACTAGCATGGTGTTTCCCATTTGAATGGGTTGGTCTGAAAATAGAGTCCCCATTAATCCAATCCCCCTAGTAGCAAACACCCTCTATATAAATGGTCCCAAATATGCAGGCTCATCCCCTACATCCACCATGGTTTCTGGAATGTCTTCAATATTAGCGGGAAAGGATTACCCCCCATTAATCCATCTAAATCCATTAAGATATTACATGATACATTAATCATATTATATTATTATGCCCCCATTAAACCATAAATATCATTATCCACTAATCATTATCCCCATTACTCAAGCTATTAATCATCCTCATTGGTGGGTATCTCCTATCAACGACCACAAACAAAAAACCGCTCCTCATGTCTGATGACCCAGACCAGCAACGCCAGCGAGAGCTCACACCTGGAGCGAACACGCAGTGATCTGAAAAGTGGATATGGTCTATCTTCATAAAACCGCAATAAAATTGGTGCTTTTTATGTGCTTGAATACTAAAGATATGGAATTTGTTTAGAATAAAACGATCAATATTCATGGTGAATAATGGTTGAGAATTGTCAATAAGTGGGTCCAGAATCATACCCCATTGACCAGTTCCCCAGTTCAACGGGTAAGCGCCCAGCTCTTTCACGGTGCGCTCCATCGCAAAGACAATAATCTGCCACAACCAAGCAACGTTCAAGTGGGAGTGGAGTTGCTGGTAATTGGGCTTACCTCATTTTAGTCCAAAAATGCGGGACATTTTCCCAATCAGGAATATATGTGGATTATATGGAATCATGATGAACTACAGTAACCATGGATATATTGAGGCACTGTATACTCCGTCCATTCTCATGTGGCGATACAAAAGACATGTCTATTCTGTATATTTCAAAGACCCCAGGACTCCAGGACTTCTTGTCACACCGGTCAGCATCTGACACGATCCTTTTACAAGCACTTTTGAAGTGAGACTTGCGTATATTTGAGACATGCATTTAAGATTAGAGTGATATGCAAGTAATATCGTATATTTATGTAACTATAAATGTGATTATATATATACATATATATATATTATAATATATATGTAACCATAGCATCCCATCCCCAAAATGGGTCAATGACCATCCGACCAATGGCACCCCCAACATCTGTGGGTCGCCTTGCGGACCAGCTCCGCACTCTGCGCCGGCGACTCAGGCAGGGACATGGCAAGGCATGTTGTCGTGACATGGCAATAGTTGGCTTATTCAACATTTATTCAACATAAAAGCAGTTGGTTTCGTGCAATTAGAAATATAGACATACTATGCAGAGACTTCGAATGATGATGTCCCCATATTTATAACTAAATTGATGGTAACTTTAATGGGAAAAATGTGAGTCAAGTGGTCCAAGGACCGGCTGCCTTTAGATCCAGTTTGGGGATTCTCAGCCACCGCACCAATGGAGTCAACTCCCGGATACAGCGACCAAACTGGCGGAGAAAGTCTGGAATTTCTGCAGAAGTTGGTCGGTTTCTGTGTTTCTACATGTTTCTACTATGTTCTAAATTCTCTATGCATGCTTGATGTGATGAACGCAATCCGCAACATGCACACTTTGGACACCAATCAAATCGCATTCCAAGACGGGCAAGTGGCCTCTGCTTGGTCTCCAGAGTTGAAGTATTCCAAGATCATGTTTTGAATCTCTTTCCTCAGCTGATCATGTTCAAGCCATTGCGGTCAGGGTCCATTCCCAACAAACCTGTATTCATCCATGGCTTATCATCTATCTGTTCGGGGTTTCATCGAAATGAAATTCATCATATACATATACGTATATGTATACGTGTACGTATACAATATACATAACATACAATTACCTATACATTCCTATACATATGCAGTGACATACATACATACATACATTACATTACATTACATTACATTACATTACATTACATTACATTACATTACATTACATTACATTACATACATACATACATAACATGCATTTACCTATACATTCCTATACATATGCAGTGACATACATACATACGTACATACATACATACATACATTACATTACATTACATTACATTACATTACATTACATTACATTACATTACATACATACATACATACTTACATTACATTACATTACATTACATTACATTACATTACATTACATTACATACATACATTAAAACATTTATACATTAATACATTAATACATTAATACATTAATACATTAATACATTAATACATTACATAAATACATACATACGTACGTACGTACATACATACATACATACTTACTTACTTACATACGTTACATTACATTACATAACATAACATAACATAACATTCATACATATATAATCAAATATATATATATATATACTATGTATATATATATATATATATTATATATATATATATATACATCATATGTATAATATATATATATATATTATATATATATATATACATCATATGTATAATATATATATATATATATTATATATATATATATACATATTCATGGTTTATCATCATATATCATCCAAATTCATGGATTTAAGGGTATACACCCATCCATTTGGGCAGTTGAAAATTTTGACTCATACTCAACACTATCCTCCTGCTCTTTCAGTTGGTAAACTGTGGCATCTACAGGCCATAGAGTCATAGTCGAGAAAAACTATATGAACACGTCTCCTTCAACTGCTCCAACTATCTTGATAGTCATTTTTCATTGTATATTCATTCCTTGCAAGATTTTCTGATCAATATCTGAGTTCCATTTTATCACTATTCACGACCCCAGCATAGAGGCCCCGCACTTAAAAGCTGCAGTGCTCAACTGTTTTTTGCTGTACCTCACATGCAACTCACCTACATGCAAATTATGCAGGCAGAAGCATCTTGGATCCCAGAAAGTTTCACTAATTAATCCAAAAATGTGTAGGATGGTTGGATATACTTATGTACTGTACTAGAATAACATGTTAGCTGTTAGATGGTTCTGATGGTTCAACAAACTGCTTGGCCCATCCACTGAGGAAGCTGCTCAGGCGTCCTGCGCTGTACCGCCTGAGAATGGAATCGGATTGCTGGGTCGAGTCTTCCTAGAACCGATCAGCACAAATGAAAAAAATGAAACATATGTATATATATATATATTTACTTATTTATTTATTATTGACATACATACATATATATATATTATGTATAGATTTACACCGCATTAAATAGATGTATATATATATATTATTATTATTACTATTATTATTACTATACATATATATATATATTATGTATAGATTTACACCGCATTAAATAGGGATATAATATAATATACATATATATATTTATACATAGAATATATAACACATAGAGATATATATATATACAAACAAGATATATACATAGGTACAAATATACCATATGTTATGTATATACACCCCAGAAAATAAAACATATATACCGTATATGACCGTATATGTATATATACCATATTTGTAGTTCATATCTGTGTATATACACGTAAATAAGTATATGTATATATGTATATATGTATATATGTATATATGTATATATGTATATATGTATATATGTATATATGTATACATATATGTATATATATGTATATATATGTATATATGTGTATATATATGTATATATATGTATTTATATATATGTATATATGTATATATGTAAATATGTATACATATATGTATATATATGTATATATATGTATATATGTGTATATATATGTATATATATGTATTTTGTGAACAAATGAATCCTTGTTCTGGATGTAGTTATCAATTGCGGTACCTGTTATGCTAGTATTGCCGGACACTGATGAGGCATGGCAAGCGCAGCTCGGACCCTTTTCCTCGCACACGGACTTGAGCCAGTACGGCGTCCAGATATACAATTAAGCATGTACATCACAAGTGTCCTAGTGTTCAGTTCCCTTTGACACCCCCCATGCCCGTGGTATTCTTCGAACCACGGACACGAGAGAGGGAACTTTGAATTAGATTGTTTCTGCTACTTGAATTACGCCTATGCACATAAAACGTGCCATTCGGCTCCCCCTTCCCCACATACCCGTCGGGAATAATGGTTCAGGGTTCGCCTACTCTCTGGCTGTCGATGCTTCGGCGCTTTATCAAACTGTACAACGCGAATTATTGCTAGCTAACATCTACTTTTCTACGTTGGCTAGGCATACCACTCACCCGTCGGGAGAAATGGATCGCTTCGCTACTAAAGATTTACAACGCTAACTAACGAATTCACGTGCACAGTGCAGAATTCGTGCAGATTGGGAATATCAAAAATCTTGAACCTAAGCGAATTATTCTACTGCCTCGCTCAGAGTCCACTCAGTTGATCCTTTCCTGATCATCTGTTCATAAAGACGATACACATCTCATATTCCAGTGATCATCTTGACGGATCGAAGTAATTGATTTACTGCTCACGGCGGACTTTCTTCCATTGAGGTGCTGTTGGAGTTCTCTCCCATCCTGCCGCACGTTTCGGAGCAGCTTTCGGCGATGAAGGCTTTGCAGGCGGTGCCTTTGATGGTTCATGGGATTTCGGCATAGCCTTGCCCTTTGGTGCACTAGCCGATGAGGATGATGCTGAACCAGTGCCTTCAGGTGTCTGTGAAGGCTGCGCAGTTGGTTTAGCAAACTTGGAAGCTGCAGTATGTCCAACCGCTTTGAATACTTCACTCACCACTTCGTCGCCAAGGGTTGGAGCCATCTTCGCTTTCATCTCGGTCTTTCCCCTCTGCGCCTCGGCCTCGGCCAGCTGAATAGCATAAGCCATCTTGCTGACAAAGTTTTGAGGTAGAGGAATGCCACACTGTTGGGCTGCAAAGAGCAGTTCTACTCTCTGTTCTTTCTCCCTCAGGCTCAGATATACCGAGAAAGCTGGGAGTTCGATGCAGTTGGGGAAGCCGTGGCACCCGGAGCGAAAGAAGGTGTATGACTCGTGCTCCGGAAAGGTTCCTTTGAGCAGTCGTCGAAGGAAATTGCTGATGGTTACTCGCATCTCCTGTTTCCCTTGGGCATCAGCCTGCATTCGGTTCATTGGCATGAGAAAGCCTAATGACTCAGGAGTGTACCCAGCGCGTACCAGAAATTCCATCATCTTCTCATAGATCTCTAAAGTCTTGATGACAGGCATCATCATGTTTCTTGGTCGCCCTGAGTATAACTTCTCTCCTTCTGACCATGAATTCCTCTTCCCTTTCTGCTGAAAGAGTTCATCCAATTCCAGCTCCGTCGGTCGCTTGAGGTTGCCATCCTGGTCTTCTCCTGTATAAGGACAGAAGTCGTCCAGGTCCAGCCGGACTCGCTTGGTTTCCGTCATCATCTCATAGTACTCCTCTGGGGTCAGAGTGACTCTCTGTTTGTAGTAGAGCCTGAACATTGTGATGACCTTTGACATGACAGCATTGTCATACAAGTGAGCCGCGGCCTCGGAGACATCATTGTTGATAAGTCCGTCTTCTGGCATACCCTTGCTGCCGCTCTCGAGGTTCTTTGTCCATGCTGGAAGTTTGGAAGAGGATTCATCTTCAGGTTCGACTTCCATTTCATCTTCGTCTTCTTCAACGATTTCGTCGTCTTCCTGTTGGGCTTCCTCCTCCTGATCCATTTCTTCATCATCGCCTTCGTTGTAGTCGACCTCGTCGGGATTGAAGCCATAGTCGTTGGATTCGGATACGTTTTCTTGTGCTTGATGGACCGTATCCTTGAACAACGATTCTTCTTGTCGACGAACTTCTTCATCGATCTCTTTCTTCGTGGCCTCATCTTCATCGTCTTCAGGAGCTTGTAGCCGATAGGGACGGATTCCACAACTTTCCAGTTCCGTCCAGCAAACTAGACACACTGCTAGTTTTGTCGGCGTCTCATTGAGACAGTGAGGACAATGGCGGCAACCTGATGTTTGCACCCTTTTGCGTTCGACTATGTAGTGAATCAGCTTGATGCGGGCCAGGTATTGTTCTTGTCCGCCAGGCTTGATGAGGTCGTTCTTGAATTGGTTGACGATGTTCATGGCATCCATGGCGGTTTCGTCAAACGGTTGATCTTCGGCGTCGATGCATTGACTTGCAACCCTCAAGATGGACTCCTTGGTGGCTACCGTTCTTGATTTGACAGTTCCAGACCGGACTACCTGGTCGTCGCCCGACGGGACGAACAACCGGAGCCATGTCTTATTGTTTTGGTCCTTTGGGTCCTGAATCCATCCTCCTTTGATTGCCGAGAACGGGATGATCTTTGGTGAGACGATCTGTCCCGAGTCAGTCAGTCGACCGCCATATTCCACCATCAAGGTCTCGGTCGGGATGAACAAGCAAATGTAGTCCCCCTTTCGCGTATCAACGCTCTTCGTGATAGTCCATGATCTGTGATCCCATGGCACATACGGGTTGAAGAACGTGAACATCCGATGACCTTCTCCAAGACCTCCTGGAATTAATCCCTGCCTCCAAATGCTTCGAAGGTTGGTCTTCTTGGTGATGTGGAAACAAACCGGTAACGACAAAATGGTGTTGGGCGCGATTGGATGTGAAAGTAATGAGGACAGCAATGAGACGTCGTCCCTTGAAGATCCTTCCTTGTGCCCCGTAGGAGCACGGACCGCCACAGGGTAGAGCAGTAGACCTTCATCAGGAATGTTCGTGTTCGCATCGACTTTGTTGTCAATGCACGTCAGGCTGGTGCGCTCGATGTCCTTGTTGATACCAAATGCCAAGACTTGTTCACGAACACGACGTCCATACCGGGCACAGTGGAACATGATCTTGAAGAGCAACGTCATGCGGTAGTTTGCCTCATCGACATTCCATGCACTCTGATCATTTGCTCTTCCTTTTGGAGCAAGGAATACATGTGGCCAGCGTGCGTACTCGTGCCTCCAGATAGACTCGCATTTGAGCACCTCCTCTATGGGCACCCAGCCGGCGTCATCACATGACAGACTCTGTTGTTCTGATACCTTCCCCACGTTGTGCCGCAGGATCCTGTTTAGTGATGTACTCACCTTGTCCTCGTAGGTATTGAGTCGGTTGCCAGTCTCGAATCGGTAGTTGGCCGCATATTCTACACCGCCAAAGTAAGAGCAGTTGAAGAAATGGGCCCCCGTGGTCGGGATGATTTTCAAGAAACCATCTTGCGGCGCCTCGACTCTCTTGTAGAAGGGCTTCCTGATGTTGTTATCAGAGTAGCTTGCCATAAAGTCTGGCACTGACCAAGAGTCACCTCCTCCTCTGACAATAGCGTCTCTGACCACTTCGTTGAGGTCAACAATGTTCTGTGGTCCTAGCTTTGTAACATCACGTCCTTCTATGCAGAATCTGCCATACTCATCGAGGTCACCAACTTCAGACATAGTTCTGATGCTGTCGTACCATTGGTGTTCACCAAACCTCGATTTTGTAGGTTCATCCGTTTGCCCCGACCCATCAGTAGCACCTGAACCGTCCTTCTTGTGCTCAGGAGGCTCCATATCGACGTCATCAGATGTTGGACTATCAGCCTCGAGCGACGCTCGGACGGCCTTTAGCACTTTTCTGACTTCATCCCTCTTCTCATGTTCACATTCAAGATGGCCATGTTGGGTGCTACCACAATACAAGCACACGTTGACATCCTCAGAGACGGTGAAGAGTTTTCCCAACGCATCCAAAAGTTGTTGTTTCCCGGAATTCTCTGAGTCCCTGACCACATCGGTGGGGTCGTTCGCTGGCTCATCAGCCTCCTCCTCCCCAGGGTGAGCCGACGACTCGTCACCTGGCTTGGCATCGGCATCAGTGCCCATGCTGGCGTCACCCCCTGTGATGTTGTTCTTCCTGCGATAATGAGAGAATACCTGATCCTTCTCCCAGTCCGTGAGGCAGCAGAAATTGGCCAGCGAATCATATCCGGGGATTGCGTGGATGAGCTTCATGACCCTTTCGGCTTCTGCAGTTTGCAGTGTGCAGTCGAAGGATCCCCGTCTCTTGTCATTGATGGTGCTCGAGGTTCGGGAGGTCGATGTGAATTGAGCCAGTG